TATATATATATATATATATATATATATATATATATATATATATATATATATAGCACCAATCTTTACGGATATGACACCAGAATAACCATGGGTTTAAGAGAAGTATTACAGAAACGGGGAAAAGAAAGCAGTCAGTAAATTTGTGATCGTTTGTTTATTTACTGCACGTCACTTTGATTACTTTTTTCGTTTTTGCTTACTTTTGAGATTGCACACAGGAAAGGATACATTCACACCACTGACTTTGGTTCGATGCCATATCCTGTGGTGTCTCTAGCCAAAGACAATCTGAATCTTTGGAGCTGGGAAGCGCAAACAGAAGCCAGATCCGAGCACCGTCTCTTTAACCCTCTGCGCCACGTCATAGCTCTGTCATTCCTGACCCAGGACACATCTTTCCATTGCCGTCCTGGACNCCCTCTGCGCCACGTCATAGCCTGCCGACCTCGCTGTTTCTTCCAGCCTGGACCAGTGTCTGCGAATGGTGCACGGTGTCCCAGACGTTGCTCAGGCATTCATAGGACGTGCTTTAACCACCTAAGACGATGGAGTGAAATTATTTTGCTCAACGGAAGACTATCTGATCCTAGAACTCGTTATTCATGCGATGCTCCTACCACACGCGGGCAGTGTTGCGCAGATAACGCTTGTCGAAGACGGATAGTTGCCGAACGTGATCTGCTCGGAGAGGCCAGTTTCCGCGGCCATAGAGCAATATGGTGTGTACCGTTGCGCAATACACACGCCCTTGCAGTGAAACGGATGTGTCGCGCCGGCTTCCGAGAAGTCGCAGATTAGCGAATGCTAATCCAGCTTTAACCACGATTTGAGAGATCTCGCCCACACTTCCGTCAGCAGTTATGCAGCTTCCGGGGTAGACAAAACTTTCGACTACTTCCAAGGTGTCATTACCCAACAGAAGTGTGGGATGGGTTTCTACCAATCTTGCAATAACACTTTGCACTTTAGAAGGTGCAAAAGACAAACCACAGAGTAACCTCAATTGCCAAAAGATTCAAAGACTCTTGAATCGTTGGTGCGTTTCCACTCAGTAAGGCAATATCATCAGCATACTCTAAGCCTACGATTATGTCTCCAGGAAGAAGCTCGACGTCTTTACTGAGGGCAAGTAGCAGGCCGTCTGATCCAGCTGCCCTTTGGTGTTCTAGGGCTTGGAGTTCCTTCCTCCCCTTCTGTGGGCGGTCCCGTGGATAGTGACCAGGGTGCACTCTCAAGAGAACTGCTTGGGGCAGCCAGTGCGGGTGGCGGGTTGAACTGCGATGTGAAGTGCTCTGCCCAGCGTTCCAAGCGTCAGTAAAGACTGTTTATTTGCGTGCCGTCTAATTAGCACACTATTTCACTAAAGCACTGCCTTTTGGGGCCTGTACCACAGATGAGCTGGAATAGTGTTTCCACAGTTAGCCACTGATTCCTTTGCACGTAGCGTCCACTAGGTCTCAAACTGTTCGTGAGTTCGAGCTAGTTAGTGAAAAGATAATTTTTTACCTGAAACTGCCTATTTTTCGAGTATTTTCAATTTTTTTAAGAATTTAAACTTTTTTGGCGCTTTTACTTGGTGCTACTTGTCCACATCCGGCTGGCAGTCGCTGATTGGTCTATTCTGTAAATTTCTTCATTTTTTGCATCAATTCTCAAATTTTCAAAGTCCGGAGACCAAAACAGTATATAAGCAGCTGATTTTTCCACTGTGATTTTTAATTGCTTGCCGTGTGTCAAATGCACGTTCACTGTGCACTATCTGTGTTCTTGCTTACGTAGCTGGAAGAAGGCTACTAGTGCTCGTGGCGTCCAATCTGTGCTGTGATCGTACTTGTGGGGTTAGACGACTAGTGTGGCCGTTGAGATACGTTCTCCGTAGTGTTCGGACCTACCTTGTGTCTCTGTGTGCGTTCGCGCTGTGATATCGTGCACGTCGTTCGTGAGTGTCCAGTCTGTGTTTCGTCTTTCATTGTCGATAGTGAATGCCATTGTGTTGTGCTGTGTACCTTCGACTCCACTCCAGGCACATCGTGTCTCACGCCGGTCTGTGTCACTGTGCATTGTGCTATCGTGTGTTACTTTTTGTGTCATCGTGTGATATCTTGTTGTATGTTACATTGTGATCGATCGGGGACCAGACATAACAGGGCATCAGAGAGAGGCGCTGTTCATTATACTCCAGGAGTGCTCGACGCGCGTCAAGAAGTCTGAGAGAGTTGAGGGAGACCCAGTTATTTAAAACTCGGCGGGTTAGACCACAACTGTGTAAACCGGCTGAGTGCATTGCGTTTTGAATGGTTGTCCAGTGTTGATCTACGCTACTTGGTGAGGTAGTAGTTAGCCTTGGTAATCGGCTAGTACGGCCGGGTCAGAGAGCTTGGCAACGTCAAGCTGTTTGCATCGCATCATTTTGCGGTCACCGAATCGCATAGACAACTTGGCACAAACCAGTGCGTAGTCGGAGTCCAAGCAGGTAGATCAATACGAGTGGCAGCCTTACACATCCTCTCCATTTATAGCTAATAGCTATATGATCAATTTGACTTCACATCTGTGCCGAAGAGAAGTTACGCCAAGAGGCGAGGTGACGCTTCGAGTGTCTGAAGTTGGTGCTAACGAGAAACAGACCATGTTCTGAGCTAAGAAGTCTATCCCCACTGTCTGAACGGCAGTTATCAAGGCCATGATGACCACCAGGGTGTCTCGTCGGGCGACAGACAACCAACGCGTGCGTTCAAGTCTTCGACCAGGATCATGATATCTGTCTTAGGTGCTTTGAGAAGCTCATGTAGGTTGTGATAGGCGTCCTTGACTATATCCGGGCTACAGTCAGTGGAAGCGTATGCAGAAACTACGAATAAGTATCGTTCATTTGGTTTCTGATTCCTAATCTTACTTGAGCCTCTGAATCTCTCTGCGCATAGTTGGCCATCTATCGGGATTTAATCTAATAGACTAGCCTCGGCCCTGGCGCCTAAGGCAATACCAACGCCTGCTTAACCAGACGCTGAGGCGATAGGGTCCCCAGAAACGCGCAGTTGAAACGCTTCTTTAGAATTAAAAGGAGACGTTAATCGGATCACTGAGCTCGGATCCTGGATGCGTGTTTCCGAGAGGCAATAGACATCAATCTCTAGACTTTCGAGTGTACGAGCCAAACCTGCTTGTTGTCCTATACGCATTAGAGTTCTAACGTTGAACGAAGCCAGTTTGAACGCAGAGTGAGATCGGAGAAATGGGACGGATTCTGAATGACAAGGCAATGCCGAGACAGATGTCAGGGAGGATAGCGGCGAGCTACAACATCACATTGCGTCAGTGGAACCGTTCGAGGTAGGACATACAGTGGGAAAATGAGGATATTATGTAGGGGCGGGTGGGAGTGTTGTGTGCAGATCTTAAGAGAGAGACTTGCATGAGTGTAAGATTCTGGGACATGTGTGAATGCGTAAGTTCAGAATTTCATGGTTAGATACCAGTGCGATAGCTAATACTGGGTTACACAAGGGATGGCTGTCCAGGACGGCAATGGAAAGATGTGTCCTGGGTCAGGAATGACAGAGCTCTTGTATGCAAACCCCTAGGCAAGAACGTTCTCGGAACTCCATTAGACAGCCTGATGAAGCACAGTAATGTAGATCAAAATTCACAACTATTAACCTTGCCCAATGGGGAGACATTTTTGGCTACCGGCTTGCGGTTGGCCACTTGGTCGACCAATTACGACCAAATACGAGAGTTAGAAGCTAAGAGCACTGTCGAAAATATAAATAAAAGGAAGTAAACCACATCAGCCTAGAGAGGGAGTGGATACACGAGCACCATTGTTTTATGTTAATCAAAGTGAAATCGACCACATATAAAACTATATGTACTGGCGTGCATTCATTGGTGAGAACAAACGGGCACTTACTTTTGGGATCTTCCAACGATTCGAAAGCGGGATATTTGGTGGGGCTGGGTAAATGGAGGAAAGGCCATGCCATCTTGTGCTCCTAACAATTCAAATAAGCGGAGAAGAATGTGCAGGAGAATGTTTGGAGATGATGCAATTCGGAAGGTAACAGAAGACGAAAACAAGAAAACTGACTTCAGTCCAGTAAATAGAAGGAATGGAAACAGAACAAATTATAGCAGCAAGTGGAACCACCATGGTAGTTTTCATACATTTTTGTGAAAACCAATCTAACGTTCGTCGAAAGTGCGACAAATTATTCATGCTTCATCTCTTAGTTACTGGAGATGATGCTAAGAGTATATGCTGTATTTGATAGCAAACACTATAAATACAGTTATCATGGATGAGTTCCTGTGTGCATTCAATTATGTCGGTTTGATTAATCAACCGTTAGCATACGGGGAGGGGGGTCAACTAATTTCTTGAACGATCCATCTACTCTTCTGTTGCAAGAAACAGTTGTATGTGGAAAAGACAAGAATAAAATGAATACACTGAGCTTATAACGTCTACAGTGTCCACATTGGAATAGATGCACGTGAAATGTGCGATGCCACCAGATCTAGTCTACTACAGAAAAATGTGGAGAACATGTAGGCGTAAAATCCACTGACTTTGGGGAAATATGGCAGTTCGGAAGAACGAAACAATATAGTGGAGGTGGAATGTGGCACGTGCATGGCAAATTCTTGATGGATAATCCAATCAAATAAGAAATGCTTCGGGCAGAGATTGTGCTAACTGAGAATCGCATAGTGCGACGTCCTTAACTCAGAAATGAAGTGCATGCGGCAAACGAACTTTCCAGATCACAGTTTAAAATTGAAAGCGCAATGTTGCGACAGAATAATACCTGCGGCGCACTTTATTATCCTTATAAAAACACCTCGGATTGTACAGCGTAGCCACATGCTGTTCGAATTTGTTACAATGAGCCTGTTCACTTTCGTGGGTTCATGAGACATATGTACATTATCCACATCAACTGTTATTTGGTCAACAGGGCCGTGGTAAGTAAATTATCATGCACATCCGCGAGCGTGAATTTACAATGATCATCAGAAAACATACCTGCAGGTCACGTAGCAGGGTGCACAACTGAGACTGCAGATCGACGGTGAGTGAGGAGTCGTACAGGGTTTTCGTGGTCCCGTCCGATTCGTCCGGTTCGGGTTCTTGCTTTAGGACCAATTTGTCTGGAACAATCACATCTGGAACTTTTGTGTCGGTGCAACGCGGGCAAATATAGGTTCCCGCATGGGTGGCCGCTTGTTGTGAAGTAAGACCGACACATTCGGCGTGGTACCATTCGTCACAACGATCACAAGCAATGTAAACCCTTAACCGAGGAAAATAAAGTGTGATGTGGTGTTGAGGAAGGTCAAAATTTAACGTGAAATTCCTCAAAGTAACAGTGGTGAGGCGCATAAAAACGAAGGTTGAGTGGATATACCAGCATAGAATAAAGCATAGTTGAGATTTTTTCGCAGTCAACCGTTCGCCCAACAGTGACCATTCCACTATCCTCGATTTTGTTTTGAGGTACCGAAAACCTGGTGGATTCCAACTGGCAGTTCATCAACCTCAGAGGTCCCGGTATATACAACCGATATTGACTCACGCGTGATCGTAACGACTTGCATCAGAGCTTGGCGGAATCCTTTGTCACGAGCAACAATCTAAGTTGGTTGATTGACCCCAACAAGCGCCTGTGTTACTGTTAATGACTGGGATCACCTAGTCATGGTACTTAGATCCATTTTTTTCTTTCGCATATACGCAGTTAACCTAAGGCTTCCTCAATAATTCAAATGAATTGATGACTCTCTCACCGTCCCTACCCGGCTTCCTTCAAGATTGCGCGATTTCACTCACTCTATTCCTCATTTTCATCAATGAATCTCCTCAACCTCTGATCAAAAACCTGAATTTGCCGAATTTATTGTTTTCGTCCTTATCTTTCCGCCCACTCTGTTGCCGCTAATAGCGATTGCGAGCGTTATGCTCTAACGACCACTCTCACTTCCTACTCGGGATATGTCTCTACTTAGGGGTTCTAACCATTGTGCTTTTTGCAACGCTTTAAAATCTTTTTCACGTCCAACTACCGCAAACATCGATTTACCCTCTGATTTCCCATAAACTTGCTTGCTCCTTACACCAATGTAGGTTTCCTCATTTTCCTCTCGAGCTACTTATTCTGCGTTAGACGGTTTGTACTTCAGCCCATCTTCAACGTAAAATAATTGGCTTTATCCATAGCACCCTAACCTCTAATTTGCAGTCACTACCTCAACATCCAGCTGTTGCTAATTTACTTCATTCATAGTTATCAATTAGGATTTTCCTCATCTAAACCTTACATCAACTATTACCGATAGTGAACACATGAAGAAATGCGAATTATTTCTATTTTACATCAGTACATGTGTAACATATATCGGAAAGCTAACCTTGTTGGCTCATACGGTGTTCGACAGAGGCAGTAGAGCATTTCGTTCGCATGTTCTTCCGCTTGTCGACAATCTGGGCAGTGCCATGAGTCTCCCAATTTGGACGCATCTGATGGAGTTAGGCCGACGCATTCAAAATGGAACCAATCCTGACATAAATCACAGCCCAAGTATTCGCTGCGATTGTCGTTCGGGAAGAAGTGAGGACAGGCAAAGAGGTCATATGAGTAGCAAAAACACTCGATGATGAGCACGACGACGAACTGCCAAAAAAGCACGCAGTCAACAGAAAGATAACCGGATGGAAGTCAATACGATTGTATCAGGGCGTTTATCCAAATAATGTGACAAAAAATATCGGCACGCACAATTAGCCACAGAGTAATCGAAAGAGCACAACAAAGTGGCTTGAATCCAATATAACTCCGGTGGAACCCAAACCTTCAGTTTATTGCTTGACTAGCTGTGATATTGGTTGAATTCTCGCGTAGTACAAAACTGCCTCTGGATTGATGAGAACTGAGAACGACTGGAACAGAGGATATACGTGCATTAGCTATGTCCCTCGCTCGATAAGCAGAAATTAATTACAAGCCGAGGGGGTGGGCGAGCAGAACTCAGAGCAAAAAATCTATGGAGCCAATAAACGAAAACATCCACGGTCATGAACACTTACCGACCGGGGTCGTACGGCGTTCGGCATAAACAGTATATGTCTGCAGACTCATCCGGTGATGTTGAAGTAGGCGGTTCAGCCTTTATTGACTGACCTTGAGGTTGTAATGATTGTTGTTTCGCCGTAGCTGGTGGAGGTGAATTGACAGGAGATGAGATTTTATGGACCGTCAGCCGCGACAACGGAGTTTCATTCACGTTTACAAGTGGCCGCCGCGCAGCACCCCGACAGCCACGTCCAAATGGACGTCGGGTGCGGCGGCGAGTACCACGGTGACCGCGTCCAAAATCAACGGTATCACGCGAAGTATGCGCGGATCGCTCAGGTGTAACGGAACCGTACGGAGGCTGCTGGTAAAAAAGAAGACAATATTGATAAACCACACGGTTCATCACCCGCATGGCAGTCGATTCATCTCGTTTGAAACGACGGACATGAACAGCATCACGAAGCATGCAAAACTGGAAACTGTGAACTACAAGGCTACGAAAACAGAAGAATTATCAAATCGAAAACGAAGTCCCTAGCTACAGACGACTGAAATGCGAACACAGATGGTCGTAAACGTACCTCTGTAGTCTTTTCCTCGTCGGGCATGGTGAGAATAGCTTCCAATCGTGAGTCACCCAGTGCAGGACATGTGCTTGGCGTGGATGGCGTACTAGAATCATCACTGGCTTCATTGAGCGTTGGACTATGGAGAGGCGATTTGGGCAACAAAGCCTCAGGCATCCGTGGAGTAAGTATAGGTCGAGAGACACCCCCGCCCCGCGGACGACCACGACGACCGGGAGTGGATCCGCGGCGCATCCCTCGAGGTCGCAAAGTCGAAGCACCGCGGTTCAAGGTCCACTCAGGTTTGTTCTCTTGTTCTTCCTTATCTACTCCATCTATGGGGATAGTGCGTAAAGGCGTTTTAGTAATGCTTGAGAAACCGTTAGCAGCGTCGGAAGGCGCGGATGGGTACGGTACTTGAGATGCCGCAAGTGGACGCCTTAAACCACGATTCATACGATAACGACCAGAGGTAGGCGGCCGTCCGCGAGGACGGCGAACTGGAAAACCTGGAGTCTGTACCGGACTGACACGAGGACGACCTTGGGCTACCCGAGGCGATTCCGAATCTTCCTCTTCCATCGATTCACTGTCCGCGGCAATAAAAGGACGTTTTTGTTCATCCACAGCTTCCTACAACAAAAGCTTGGTAATTGACCATGGGAAGCTGCATAAAATATTGAGATATATTTATATTATTTCATACATTCGATTGTTCTTAAGCAATTCCACACCACAAGTCCAAGGGTTTAGACTGCCGGCAAGTACTACAGGATTGCAAAACCTGGTGACTATGGGATCTATCCTCTCTGTTGATCATCAAATAAGGATGTGAAACAAAGAAGCAACGCGTACAAATGGGTTATAGCTGAGCTGAAAAACAATTTTAAACGAATCAACGGCGGAAAGATCTGTTATACCGGGCTTATTCCAGTAGGAATTTTGATCCGGGACCGCGGAGTGTTCTGCAGAGCAAATACGGGGACTTGATATTGAGGGCAAGATCAAGGGACTTGATGGGTGATTCAAAGAAAAGGTACCGCATCAATTTTGATACCAAGCAGAAACGATCAGAGTCATGACGAGTTTGTCTAAAGTTATTAGATTATCATTTACATCAACCCTGAGAAACGACCAGAGTGTGTTGAATTGAAAAGAGACCTGGATGAATAATGAGACCGTGTGAATACCATAAATTAAACAACGCTTTGACCGATTCAGAATGGGAATGAAAATTCATGGGAAAAAAAATCAGGGTTATTTGTCTAGAGGATCCAAAACAGTTACGGCTGTACCAATAGCAGATGGTAACTCACATCAGCTAATGCTCGAGCCAAACTCAGATAAAGCCGTCGACGTGCGATCAGTTGAGTGCGAAGTACTCGAGCCCGCTGTTCAACCGCGCACCGCTCTGCTTTAGCCTTTCGGGCCAGTACGGAGGCGCGAGCAGCACGAGCGGCCGCCAATGAACGAGCGCGCGCTTTAGCTTCCAGAATTTCGTTGGACACTTCGGGGATCTCGAGTGGGGGGCGACCGCGGCGAGTCTGCAAGGTCGATCGACTGCTTAACGGGTAAGCTCCATCGATGAGATCATACGTCGTGCGATGGTTCACAGACTGAGCGTCTAAATAGACATTTAGAGGAACTGAAAAATAGAAATTAGAAGAGAAATCGAAATGAAGAGTAAAAATCTGGTGTCACAAGGTGGTAGCCACTGTTTTCACTGCATCTTGAAGGATTCGTGGAACACAGGAAAACAGAGACAGAGAAAACCAGATAATGAGGCATGATTTGATTATACAGTGAATTTTGACGTGCACAGAACAAACGAAACTTGAAGTGGAAATGAAAGAAGCACCGGACGGCTGATATGACATGGTCGGGGCTCATCAGCAGTGTGAATCCACCGACTCAACTGATGATGGCACCCGGGACATCACCAGTGAAAGCAAACTACCCATTGATCAGCTGGTTAACGCAAGATACAACACAATCCACCTTCGCGACCCTAATGCAGACATCACACCTAGCGCGTCTCGCCACTAAGCTCTAGGGTTATGACTCGATTAGACTAATTTGCTGAATGATTTATGANATGAAGGATAGCATCGAACTTCAGGAAATGTATGTGTGGTTAACGAACTTTTAATAAACAAAATGGTCAAACTATTCTCGATCTGCTTTCAGTTCTAGCCAAAGAACAGCATGAACAATGTTTCAGGTAAGCTATGTGAATTGTTTGGCAAAGCAGGTGAACAGAAGAGTACACCATGGTTTAAGAAAAACAAGAGAATCACAGCGAGTAAAAAGTAGCACGAACAACTCCAGTCCGTTTATAATGGATGTTACCAGTGGGCAGCGAATCGATGGAAGCATAGGAGACCAACGCATCCAGGGACTAATCGACTT